ACAAAAACATCAGCCAATTTTCACAATTGTTGTTGCTCACAATTCTTGTTACATTGTGAAGTGGAAATTCCAACCAGGCTAAGCTACTTGACAGACTGTCATTTTTGGGAAGTTTTGTCACGTTGCTATTTTTAGGTGCTTTGAAAGGCACTTGCTTGTGGGCAAGTGCTGTAGTTACGTTTTCAAAGACTAATTTCGAACACTATATATTTCTTTATTGCTCTTCATTTTGTACAAGTGGGTTGCTACAGGTGTTTAAAACGCTTCATGGTGTGATACCGGCTAATTTCCCCACAATATGGACATCAAATCTATTAATCCTCCTTGTATTTAAATTCCCCTGCAATTCGGAACGAGGTATGGAAACGAACCACAGCTAACTACCAACACTTCCCTCTAATAACGTGAACGCAATTTCTCCTGTCCAATGCTTCGAAAGCCCTCTCGCAGAGATGAGGTAGCATTAATCTATAATCCGGGCCAATGAGATAAATGTGCCCCTGCGCGGACGGTGTGAGTAACACCGCTAAATCCCGTTACAAAGCTCGTTATCAATAATGAGGCTAACTAGCTAGCTTTAACGGGCCGCGAGCGGGGGCTAGTTAGCATGATAGCCTGTTAGCTCAGCACCACTCACACACACACGTTCCTCGTTTCAAAATGCCAACACGCAACACTCGCCCGCTAAATGCCTCCTGTCGCAAACCCACGTTGACGCTTTCCACAAAGAGTCGAGCCGAGTGGAGGTTTACGAGCTCCGGGCTGGGGTGGAACGGGCCATCGGTGTTTGCGGGGTTAGCGTTACCTGCCCTTCCGCCTGGCCTTGACTAGAATGGGAGTGTTTCGGAAGCTACTCGCGGAGCTTTAATGTCGTTTTATCCAAGCAAAACAGGTTACGATCCGAGGAAAGCAGGTCACCAGCGGGACGCGGCGCGAGTGTCGAGTAGGAGAAAGGCCTAGCGGTGGTAAATACTTATCGGCCGCTATCTTATTTTTGGTGTCAAGTAAAGTTTGCGCTTACCGTTTGTCGCTTCGCTGTCTGTGGGCGCTCCGCAAAGTGTCAGCTCGGTTGCGCGCGCAGCCCATACGTCACTTCTACTCAGCCCCGAACGACACTTGGGCTTTTTTTTAGTTTAATTAAAAGAGCCACATATGCAGGTCTTTCTTTCTGCTAGTCTTCTTTCGGAAAAGATAATAATAATAATAATAATAATAATAATAATCATCATCTCACTATATGGACAATGATTATTTCTCCGAAAGTTTGTTTTGACAACCTCAAAATTACATTATAAAATGTCTAAAAACGTTGACACTATTTGTCATTTATACTTATTTGTATTTCATTGAAATAATTTGTTTCAACTTATCAATCCAATTTAAATTGAAATGTCAATTTATTTCAAGACGGTGTTGGTTTAGATACAGTGTTATCATTCTATACAATTTATAAATGTTTAGACATGTTGATTTAATCTATTTTTAGATGTACTTTAGAAATATATACAGTATACATAATTTTTATTTTATTCTAATCTATTATTAGATTTCAATCCATGTAAAATTAAATACTGTAATATCTAATTATAAACATTACTCCGCGACCGTTGTGAGGATAAAGCAGATCAGAAAATGAATGGATGGATAAACATCACTATCCTATGCATTTTTTTATTTTATTGTACATTTTTTGAATAGTTATTACATGTACTATATTTGTTATTTTCTCTCTCATTTAAATTACATATTAAGTTCACAGAGCACCTGACCCCGTTGGCCCCTTCCACAGGTGGTAAGCTCAAAAGGAACCACATTGCCTTTTCAGGCTGTGCCCGACCGAGCCCCATGGGTGCAGACCCGGCCATCACGCACTTGCAAACGAGCCTTGCACTAGAGGTGGACCCACGTTACCCGTATCAAGACATGGGAAAACTAGGTCTAATCCTTTACTCACAAACTAAAAGGGAAAAATGCCCAGTTTGTTATAGTGTGTTACGTTTCTGTGGTTGACTGTTTACACTGCTTGTTTCAAAATAGACCGCATTTTTTGTTGCAAGTCAAATGCTGTATGGGTGAAATTGTTTCTTCTCTGGGAAAAAGGCAAGCAGTTTTTATGACACATCCATGAGTTGCTCTCAAGTCACTATGACACATTTAAGTATTTTCCTTATTGTGAAATCAGTCAGCAGTCCTCAAAATGGAACAAAATGAAGTCTTTTTTTTTCTTAGACAGATATACTTTAATAACCAACTGTAGAAGTTTGATGTGGCCCATCCATCCATTTTCTGATTCGCTTATCCTCACAAGGGTCGCGGGGCGTGCTATAGCCTATCCCAGTGGTCTTCGGGCAGTCGGCGGGGTACACCCGGAACTGGTTGCCAGCTCATTGCAAGGCACACATAGACGAACAACCGTCCGCGCTCAGACTCACACCTAGGGACAATTTTGATTTTTTTTTTTTTAAATTAATGTGCAGTACTCAGGTTGAAGTGGCCATTCCAACCAGACTCAGCATTTGGACCGAACGCCACTTTAGGCAATTCATCAAATTGCTAATCTACACTCTGCGGTGTTTACATAACAGGAGGCACGATCAGTTACCACAGTACATACTGGTTTTCCGTGTTTTTGTTTTTATATTATATTTATGGACTATAATAGATTTTTAATGCATATGTTTATGTTTGAGACTTTCGTACTGCTTTAGAATAGGTTTGTGGTAAGACAGTAAGTCGTTCTGATTTCCGTACAAATTCGCCGTAAAAACAAAGAGGCCGTGCAATAGTCTCATTTGTGAGGGCCGCCCTCTAGTGGTTAATTCCATCAACCCCATCTTCCATATTACCAGGAAATAGAAACATTGTTCTCTACTATGTATACTAAACGAAAAGACAAATTAAAACACATTTCTGTTTATTGTCTTATAGTACAATCTCTCAGTGAGACTGAATACAGGATGTAACTACCCGTTCCTTGCATGAGTTCCACCATTCAGTTGCAGTGCCTTTTGCAATCATGCCTTTCCCTCCTGTCTCTTTTGCATTCAAAATGCAAAAAGAACATCTGCATAAAACACCCAGTTGACTCCTTACATTGTAAAAATAAATACATTATCTTGAAACCAACTGGAGTCAATGTATTATATGCAAAAAGAGACCTCGGCGAGCTCGAGCATGTTGGATTTAAGGCAAACGAGCAAATACAAAGGGGGAGCCTTTAAACGTATACACAGTACACTAAAGTATAATAAATTAATCATGCTTTGTGTTCTTCGCATTCCGTAGTCAACCATAATAATAATAATAATAATAATAATAATAATAATAATCATCTCACTATATGGACAATGATTATTTCTCCGAAAGTTTGTTTTGACAACCTCAAAATTACATTATAAAATGTCTAAAAACGTTGACACTATTTGTCATTTATACTTATTTGTATTTCATTGAAATAATTTGTTTCAACTTATCAATCCAATTTAAATTGAAATGTCAATTTATTTCAAGACGGTGTTGGTTTAGATACAGTGTTATCATTCTATACAATTTATAAATGTTTAGACATGTTGATTTAATCTATTTTTAGATGTACTTTAGAAATATATACAGTATACATAATTTTTATTTTATTCTAATCTATTATTAGATTTCAATCCATGTAAAATTAAATACTGTAATATCTAATTATAAACATTACTCCGCGACCGTTGTGAGGATAAAGCAGATCAGAAAATGAATGGATGGATAAACATCACTATCCTATGCATTTTTTTATTTTATTGTACATTTTTTGAATAGTTATTACATGTACTATATTTGTTATTTTCTCTCTCATTTAAATTACATATTAAGTTCACAGAGCACCTGACCCCGTTGGCCCCTTCCACAGGTGGTAAGCTCAAAAGGAACCACATTGCCTTTTCAGGCTGTGCCCGACCGAGCCCCATGGGTGCAGACCCGGCCATCACGCACTTGCAAACGAGCCTTGCACTAGAGGTGGACCCACGTTACCCGTATCAAGACATGGGAAAACTAGGTCTAATCCTTTACTCACAAACTAAAAGGGAAAAATGCCCAGTTTGTTATAGTGTGTTACGTTTCTGTGGTTGACTGTTTACACTGCTTGTTTCAAAATAGACCGCATTTTTTGTTGCAAGTCAAATGCTGTATGGGTGAAATTGTTTCTTCTCTGGGAAAAAGGCAAGCAGTTTTTATGACACATCCATGAGTTGCTCTCAAGTCACTATGACACATTTAAGTATTTTCCTTATTGTGAAATCAGTCAGCAGTCCTCAAAATGGAACAAAATGAAGTCTTTTTTTTTCTTAGACAGATATACTTTAATAACCAACTGTAGAAGTTTGATGTGGCCCATCCATCCATTTTCTGATTCGCTTATCCTCACAAGGGTCGCGGGGCGTGCTATAGCCTATCCCAGTGGTCTTCGGGCAGTCGGCGGGGTACACCCGGAACTGGTTGCCAGCTCATTGCAAGGCACACATAGACGAACAACCGTCCGCGCTCAGACTCACACCTAGGGACAATTTTGATTTTTTTTTTTTTAAATTAATGTGCAGTACTCAGGTTGAAGTGGCCATTCCAACCAGACTCAGCATTTGGACCGAACGCCACTTTAGGCAATTCATCAAATTGCTAATCTACACTCTGCGGTGTTTACATAACAGGAGGCACGATCAGTTACCACAGTACATACTGGTTTTCCGTGTTTTTGTTTTTATATTATATTTATGGACTATAATAGATTTTTAATGCATATGTTTATGTTTGAGACTTTCGTACTGCTTTAGAATAGGTTTGTGGTAAGACAGTAAGTCGTTCTGATTTCCGTACAAATTCGCCGTAAAAACAAAGAGGCCGTGCAATAGTCTCATTTGTGAGGGCCGCCCTCTAGTGGTTAATTCCATCAACCCCATCTTCCATATTACCAGGAAATAGAAACATTGTTCTCTACTATGTATACTAAACGAAAAGACAAATTAAAACACATTTCTGTTTATTGTCTTATAGTACAATCTCTCAGTGAGACTGAATACAGGATGTAACTACCCGTTCCTTGCATGAGTTCCACCATTCAGTTGCAGTGCCTTTTGCAATCATGCCTTTCCCTCCTGTCTCTTTTGCATTCAAAATGCAAAAAGAACATCTGCATAAAACACCCAGTTGACTCCTTACATTGTAAAAATAAATACATTATCTTGAAACCAACTGGAGTCAATGTATTATATGCAAAAAGAGACCTCGGCGAGCTCGAGCATGTTGGATTTAAGGCAAACGAGCAAATACAAAGGGGGAGCCTTTAAACGTATACACAGTACACTAAAGTATAATAAATTAATCATGCTTTGTGTTCTTCGCATTCCGTAGTCAACCAGATCGCCTGGCCAGCATCTGCAGTGGCTAGGCTACAAGTATTCATCCCAAATAACACCTTAAAAAAAAAAAAATCAGTACAGCGGAACCTTCAAATATGAATGTGAGTTTGACCAACATTTTGTGGAAAATGCGCCGCAAAAGTCAAAAATAACTTTTTAGGAAGTTGCCACAAAGGGTATACTGTCAGTGATAACCACAGAAACAGAAAATGGAACTTTCATGACACAGGGATGTGTCATAAATTAATGTAATTGTTATTATGGTAGGTATTATTTTATTCCATTTGTGGTTTTTGGCTCACTCGTGAAAAGCTTGGCAGCTAACGGCATATTTTTATCATGCACGTGTTTTTTTGTACTTTCCATTTCACCACAAGAAATGATTGCAAAGGGTGCGGCTGCTCAGTATAACGAGAAAAAGAATTCACAAAATTGACACTAGACAGATGCAAATGTAAATAGCAAAGTGGCTAATGACAAGCAGTGAGGGACATTTGTGCTTTAAGGCCAAACTCCACTTCTAAAAGGAAACTATTGCCAAGATCATTCACAGATGGTGTATGTATAAACTTTGTAGTTTTTTTTCTTTTTAATAAAATTTTCCATCCATTTTTAGTTCTGCCTTTGTATTTGTGTGTGTGTGTGTGCGCGCGCACGCGTCCGCACCCTTTTGGGGATTCCGCCGCACGTCTGGAAAAAAAGGTGCATTTTAAATGAAAATGAAGATGTCACTGTGCAGTCTCAGTTCATCATGTGGTGCGGACAGGGGTGTACTTGTCTCTATGGTTACGGATGTGCATTTGTGTCATCTCCATTCCCACTTTGTAACTCCCACAAGGAATTTAAAAAAAAAAAAAAAAAACTGCTAAAGAAGGGCGAGAGGCAACCGGTCCTTTCACTGATATTGTCGGTAGTCTCCAAAGGGCGCGGCGGGCATGGGGGCGGGGGCTGGCTCCTCTGCAAACTGAGGGCCTGAAACACCAACACAAATTGTTTGTTTGTTGTCTACTGTATCTTGTAATTCCAGGGCTTTTACTCATAAATTTAGTCATAAATCAAGCCTAGAAAATGCATACTTGGGAAGCATGAAAACAAATTGGTCGGCTTATATTTATACGTTGTTAGGCCATCTCCGTTGTTTTTTTTAATGAGCTTGGTGGAAGGAAATTTTTCTTTTCAAATCAAAAACAAAAATTAACATCTATATGCATATGTAAGGAATAAGTTTAAAAATATACATTTAAAAAAACAAATAATCTACTAAACTAAACATTTTATACATTAAGGAAAAACATTTTTCTTCACTTAGGAAAAAAAAAGTCATATGGGCTGTACTATGGACAAATGTATAAAGTGATATCACAAAAATTAATGGTGGTCCAACTTGCCTGTTGGAAATTGTGAGGAGGCAAACCTAGACAGCATGATTCCGGCGCCCTCTATCAAGGCTAGCAGGATGCCCCCCATAGCCGCAGAGCCCACCATGGCCACTGGTCCATCTGCAAAAAGGGTCAGTTCATGGCTCGACCACAAGTGTGTTGAGGCGGAATCTTTTCAAAAGCGTTTGTAGACTGACTTCTGGCGGCGAGGATGGCTCCTGTCATGGCACCGCTCGTGATGGAGTTCCAGGGATCCTCCTTCCCGCGTACCTTCACCAGGCCGCAGTCGATCATGGAGAAGAGGCCTCCCCACACTGCAAAGCTACCTTAAAAAACGCCAGAGACATCGTTTGTAGATGGCAAGAGCATAATTCATGAATAAATCTTACCTCCAAGCTGTGGAGCTCTGGTCTTGATAGCAGTCATGCTGCCTCTCATTCTGTGATTCATTCCCTACAGAACACAGCGTCAATAAAAACACTTAAAGAGTCTGAAATGAAAAACTTTCAGGGCACATATTATGAATAAATTGACAGTTTAATGTTTCTTGGGTCTGGTAGGACCCAACCGATACAGATTTTTTTTTTTTTAGGACGATTTCGATATCCGTCAGAATAAAATTCCAATAACCGATTAATCAGCTGATTATCAGAGTATAATTTCGTCACTGCCCTGTGAAAAACATGAATGCCCATTTTTGTGATTTACATTTTTTATGTTAATGGGATGCCCGAAACGCGGACACCCCATCAATGTAAACATTTAACAGTCAAGCAGTGAAATTACATCCAAACAATCAAACCTGTTTCTTTTTCATAAATTAACATTATACAGTACAAAATGTATATTTATGTTTGTATTCTTCTTCTTTATAATTATATATATTTCCATATCATCCACGATTAGCGGGGGTACACTATACCACCCTTATACCAAGTTTCTACGGCCATGACTCAGAGGATAGGCTGTGTGAAGATCAAGAGCCACTTACAGGCAACGCTCAGAGTTCGTTCGCTAGATTACACAGTCTGAAACACTATCAGGCAGAGACACCCACAAGTCAAAGCCAAAAAGAGGTAAGCAGAGTCGCAGTGAATTTTGTTTCCCTCATGTGGTTACGGGTAGTTGCATGAGACGGTATTGGACCCGCAAAACAAAAAAGGTATAAAAAGTCATATTTCTTGATCCTTGAGATATTGTAATGACAGCATACCACAGTCAAGTTCTTGAAATACTTTGGAACCGTTATGAATCATGAAAAAAAAAAAACTGTCTCTTTCGGTTTAAGAACCAGAGTCGAGGGTACTTTTTGAGGAAGCCGTTATATGCCACCAAGGGAATGTCTCTGACGCTCATGTGATTATGTTGATAATTTTAATGAAACAACTATGCAAAAGTCATCATGAGATTACACGGTACAGTGTTGTGAGTGGTTTTACCGAAGGTGCGTTCCTGAAGCCTTTTACTGCTTGGAATATTCCACCTCCAATGGCCCCCATGGTGAACGCACCCCCACAGTCGTCCACAATCCTCCAGGGACTGAAAACATTTAGAAATAATTCAAATTCCATGTACAGGAAAACATCGCTGATTCCATCGGGCTGTAAAAATTATTCAAATAACTCAAATTATTTGATTACAATAAATGTGTCTATCTTAAACTCATTTTTCGATATGGAGTAATGCTATCGCAGGCATGTGCAACACTCCTCACTCATTTCACACTGAAGCGAAAGTACAATTTGTATCTCAACAGCACATCTACAAATCACCAACACAGAAAGTTATGTATCGATGTTGGTTAATTTAATATAGCCTACCCCACTAGTTAGAACGCATTGTAGTGCCCTAACAAGTGGTCAAGAATAGACACAGACGCCGCTTTATTGACCAAATGGTCAGAACACAAACACATAATAAGGATGCTCATACAGAAGCTGCCAATGTCCAGAATTCACTCCTTGATTTAGGCAGTTAACAGACAGCTAACTCTGACCTCCCATTCGCTGACACCCACATCACTTACCAAACCAGCCCTCAACTTCTAAACCCATGCACAATCAAGTCACAGATATTAAAGGGAGGAACGGGAGGATGGTGACCATAAATGGACAAAAATAAAACTTGCATCTCAATAGTAATGCAAGCATTTTTTTTTTATCCAAATACTCAAATACTTAATTCTAGAACTATTCTATTGCTGCAGCCTCAATTCACGAATTCACCCACTTGCCATTAGAGAAGGACATTAGATTTGTTTTCAAGGACTATGTATGCATAGCAAAGTGGCTAATGTGCAATATATGATGTGACCGAGCAAGACTGCGGCAAGATTTATGACTTGCTTGACATTGAGTAGGGACTCAATTTGACTTATTTGGGATGTGCATGGAACTTTAAAGTTATTGGAAGCTGCGCAGAAATGACTTACCCCCGCCTCTGTTAAACAGTCATTAAATCGTTATTGGCATATTTTGTCATGTTGCGCAATCAGGTAGTCGCAGGTTGGCGGGGGTAGCCGGGTTAGCTTATCAAACATCTACAGCTAACACGTCCTCCACTAGACGTCATTATAGGAGCTCAATGTGTCACATTCGTTGGTATTGCCGTTTGTGAGCAAACAGTGAGCGAAGTTATCGAAAAATTACGTGATGTCATCTTAATTTGTACAGGAAGGGGGGCAAGTCCGCAAGGTCACCACAACGTGCTTTTAGCCACGATGTCACGCGGCTAACACAATGTAACGTCAGTTTAGCATCAATGCTAACAGCAGTAAACGAGACGATTTCTGCTGAGTCACGTGGGGGGCGTGGGTAGGGGATAAGACAAACTCGCTTGAATGAGATCCTACACCATGCTGCGCTACAGAAAAAAAAATCCATTGTTATTTTCGCTGAAAGGACTCACCACGGCTCTCTGGCATATTCCTCCATTTTGTTCTTCTGCCGTTTCCTCCCGTGCCGGAGCCAGAGTGTGACGACTGAGTGACGCTATGACGCAACACCAGGCGCTTAAAGGGGCCTCCCGGTGAATAAACAATGGTGGGAAACTGAAAAATCGCCAAAATGTGACACTGAGGTAAAATGTATCCAGTTTAACACCTAATTCAAAAATAAGTAAATATCAGTGTGAATAAAACGTATTATAAGTTAATTAGTATTTCATATGTATGTGCCTACTATTTTGTTTCTCATTACAAAGTAATCATTAACACTATTATTGTTATTATATTTTCATGTCATTTATGACAGTATTTTCCTTTTTACTTTTTATTATAACGTGATTACACTGTATTTTCCGAACTCATTGTTGAATAAAATTATTAAATGAAAATATTTCTGGATATAAATCACACGAGTTATCCAAATGAATACTTTAAAAAAATGAAGGGTAAATGGACATCTCATTCGACACATTCATGGAGAAGACTGGTCCTTGTAATACTTTGAAAAGCATTTTTAAGACATGACCACACGAGCCGAGGTTTTTGTGTGTGCATATTTTTAACTGCATAAGTCATAGCACACACACTCCCCGTTAAAGTTCGCCCCCAATGTTTTCATTCCTTCCCAATCAAACATTGTTGCTGGTCAGAGGAACAGCACACACAGCAGCAGACAGAGAGCAGCGACAGATTGGCCAGCAGCCGGCTATTAGGAACCACAACGGAATGAATTACAGCCCAAGCCTCCATAGAAGAAATGACCAAATATAGACATTTGGGGAGATGTAAACTGGCCTTCTGCTGCTGTTCTTCTTGTCTCCACACTAGACAGCTTCCACCCTGCTCACTTCGGCAAACAAACTATGCAAAACCATCAACGTGATAATACTTTGCAATAGATGTGAACAGAGCCTTTCAGACTTGGTGGTGGTAATGAAGTAAAGATGAACGACATGTATGCATATTTCAGGCAAATGGAATTTCCTCAAAAAGTGTGAATGAAGTCAAAGAGATACAGCCATTGAGTCAAAATGATAATGGCATTAATTTGTTGTCATGAAAACCTCATATCTCCATTATTTTAGTCATGCAATTAAAAGAAAATGGACTGAAACATTTTGATTTATTCTTTTTAATCCAAAGACAAACATTAAAAATATATATTTGTATTTTAAAAATTGGAAACTTTTCTGATTTCTCTTCTTTGTACCCAAAAATGACACAGCAATCTGATAGGATGCCTCGTAAAATGCCATTCGGAACTGCTAAGTAGCTAATCACATAATAGCTATTAGCAGTTAAGCAAGTCTATGTTGGAATTTAAAAAAATCGAAATAGTTGTATTCATGTCTTTTTTTATAGCTCCAAATTTTCTGGGATATAACATTTTTTTAATTGTGTTTTTTTGCCAAGATTTTCAGACATTCCAAAAATATATTCTGGAACATTTTCTATTCTCTTTTCTTTTCAATTCAAACGTTTAGTGAAACATTTGCTTTTTAGGTTTACATCAAAAATTGTTCAAAAACTATTTCCAGTGTTTTATTTCAACTCAAATGTTTCTTACTGTAGAAAAAAACCCTTCAGATTTTCTTGTATTTTTTCAAAAACAACTATCCAAATTATTTTGGAGAGACATCCCCCGCAAAATCTTGATGTACAAAAATGTGCATTTTTTTCCCCTTTTAATCTTTTTCTTTTAAAAAAACAAACCCTTTTTAAATCCCAATTTTTTCATCTTATTATCCAAAATTGTTTTGAATCATTGAAACATTTTATTCAATTAATAACATTTATTAATGCCATCTTTCTATCATCACAGTAGGATATATCAGTATTTAAAAAAATAATGAATGTTTTTTTAAAAATGGGGATGAAAACACAATGCTCAGAAAATGTTGAATGATTAAATAAGAGCTGTTAATAATCAAACCAATTGGTAATGAATTGCTTTTGTGAGTCAACAGCAACATAGTAAAGCGTTTTATTGAAGACATACAGGCTCCGTTAGAAAGGTGTGTCATCGCAAAATGGAAAAAAATAAATCTAGGTTACACAAAGAGGAAGTGCCATAACGTCATCAAAGAAAAGACCTTCACTCAAAAGTTATCAATCAACAGGAAGCTTGATATCAACCTCATAGCACATACTGTAGCTATATTACATTGACATTACATACGATTATCAATTACGCCAGCTAAAATGATTCTGTACAACACTTATGAATTTGTACTTCCTGATAACTCGTAATTAAAACTCCTTTGTGGCGCTTTTCCAAATGAACTTTGCCTGAGATTTTTTTGACATGAGGCACTCAGTGCTTGGTGTTCTTTTTCCCGGAGCCACATTATGTTTTTGTTTTTTTAATTGGGCCATCGTGACGATGTATTCCCTGTTGTTTTCATCCCAGTTTGGACAGATTAACTGACAGTGGTTCAAACGACTAAAGTGGGGGACACACACGCCACCAAATGGTCCAAATTTGAGCACTTTTCCCCAATTCCGATCAAAGTCAGCACAGGCCAGAATATTGAATGTGTCTAAAAGATTACCTTCGGGGGTTATACTGTGGTATGAAGTGTGTCAAGAGGGATTTTTACTTCCTGATCCGCTCAGAAAAAGTTCAGTGTCGACAATTTTAAATGTTGAAAGCGGGGTACACGCATAATGACAATTCGGCTGAATTTGAATATTTTCCTTTTCTGCCGATCAAAGTCAGCAAAGGCCTGATTATTGGATGCCTCTCAAAGATTATCCTGAGAAATCATTTTATGGTGTGGGATGTGCTAAGAGGGAATTTTATTTCCCGATCAATCGCCAATGTTGAACTTGTTCAATATGTACCAAGGTCAAATCCTTACACGTGTGTATTCAACAAAGAGTTGGGACATGGACTCCAGGATTTTGACACAAAAAATGGAGATCAATTATCAGCTAGCCTGGCTTCTTCTATTTCTTTTCCTACTACTTCTCTTTCTCAATCATGCTGCCCTAAAAGTTCAGTCTTTGTACGACGACGGATATCCAGTTTCGGGGTCGAGACTTATGATTGTCTGTTGATATATGCGTTGTGTTTTGTTGGCCATTTCAAGAACACCACACATGAAAATCGCAGTAATACTGTAATGTTTTTTTTTCCTCATTACGCGTGTACACCATTTTCACTGTTTTCTCAGGCACTTGCATTCATACGCGAGACAATATGTTGTATAATGGACTTCATCTAGTACCTATTAGTGCAAATGACCAGCAAAGAGCGATATGAATCCATGACTGCAAAATGGACAACTGGCAAGAGACCATCGTGGCCCCTGTTCTTCACAAGGGTCCTTTGGTCCAGTATTCCGTGGGAAGTACTCAGGGTAAAAAGGCGGCCTCATCGTCAAAACTGTCATTACCGCAAGATGGACCCTCGACCCGAGGGAGGGTTTGTCTTCTTGCGGCGAGATATCCGTTCGACCGTGTTTCTTACGTTCCAGCCACTAGGAAAATCACTGCAGCCACTTGGGTACAGGTACCTGTTGGGGGAAGCAAAACGTATAAATGGACTCTGCATGTGGAAATCAATAAAGTGTTCCACTACGGCTATATCATAGAAATTTGGGTTTTCTAGTCACAACTTTGCATTGACGTTTAAAGTTTGAAATTGGTGAACCATTAATAAGGTGTTTTTGCCATCTTATCTTACAACCGACCAATTTACAAATGAATTCTGAATTGTTCGTCTGCTGCTGCACTAGACTGCAGCAGTCAAATGTCCGTCCAACAAAGCAACACAGTCTTTAAATGAGAAAAATAATTCACTTCCCTGTCAATTTAGCATGTATGATTTTCTCTCCAGAATTCAGTCATTTATTAATTGTCCTGCTATTTTGCTGTTCAAATTTGGATGTTCTCCGCTTTAACGTGGTTCCAGCCAGACTTGTGTGGAAAGTGTAATTGATCCTTCAAGCACATAAGTGCATGATTTAATGCGCTAGCTGTGTCATTCTTAGGTTAACTTAGCATTTAACATGGTTTCTCCATCTTTTCTCATCATCCCTTTGTGAAGTAATCAACACTGTAAAGTAAAAACTCAATTAAAGATACCATTTAATGCTTTCGGTTAGGACAGATTTAGGCCTTCAAACGTCCACAAATCAAATAAAAAACAGACAAAGGCAAAATAATTTCAAAACTGCACAAAACGTTTTTGTATGAAATGAACAGCCAGATCAAAATGTCCCTTTGTCATTTGTGAACATAAAATGCAGTTACAGTAAGTTATCGTTCTTTTTCTTTTTTTTCAGTTAACAAAAATATTTTTCTGTCCTACGGTAGTTTTCATTATTTTGAGCAGTTCTGTTAACTACAATAGCGTTGGTTCTGTGAACATTGGATGTACCTTCTTGAGTTGTTCGATGTTGCTCCCCCTAATGGAGGCGAGCAGCTGATCCCTGGAGTTCTTTGCGCCCCCTCGGTTCTTCCCATCCAGGCTCCTCCGCGAAACCGGAGTCAAAGAGTTCCTCAAGGAGTCCACTTCCAGCATGAGAGGCGGAGGAGGTGGGGGCGCACCCCCAGGTGGGGGTGGGGGCGGGGGCGGTGGTGGACCAGCCCCGTCTCCCTTCTTGGGGCTCAGTTTAGGTGAAGGCATGGGCGAAGGCATGGGGGACGGTTTTGGAGACGCCTTTGGAGAGGTCCATGTGGTGGAATTTCTGGAATACAGAATAGGTCTGTGAGTATTGTTATATACGTTATACAGATGTTGCAGCGCCGTCTGTACTCAGATATCAGTTGCTTAAAGGGCAATAACGCTGTTAAGTATATGCTAATTGTTAGCTCGTGTACCAATGGAGTTTCCCATAACAGAAGAGAAGTGTAATTACTGTTCATAACGTGGTATTGTATTGAATATGTGTCTTTAAGTGGTGTGGCCTGGCGAATGACATCAGGGGCTGAAGTCAGGATGGCTCAGTTGGGCAGATCAGTCTTGATGTGGGAGTCTGGATGTGAGTTGTGGCCTACAGCAGCTCCTTGCAGATGTTGTCCTTTTGAATTTGTGTGTTCAACTGTTTGTTGCGTTCAGTAAAGTGCTGCATGAAATTGTACTTTTTACTTATACTTTAAAAAAACAATTAAAAGATGTTTTTGGTCACACTGCAACAATTAAATGGCCCTGCTCCTTCTGGTGTGTTCACCTTAGCCAGTATAAGACAAACAGATATATGGTTTAATCAGATGTTTTGATGAATCCCACTTAGCCTTCTAGACAGTCCTTGCCTGTATGCAGAAGCCAATCATATTGCAAATGGTTTGACCTGCTTAGACCTCAGTGGGTAGCTTCATTTGGACAAAGTGGTCCTTTGATACCCACTATTAACAATACAGTCCCCTTTGTTTGGCGGCGTAATTCTTCGGTCTATGCTATTAGCGGCAGGAATGACTCCCTATCACTGTATTAGATCATACCATTCCCATTACACACCTATGGGAGCCTCCGCCACCCGGCTTGGGCACTTCCAGAGTATCCTTCTTGTCGGTTCCATTTCCGGCCTGGGCCTGCTTCTGCTCCTGTAAACGCCTCTGACGCTGGCGGTCCATGTTACGACTTAGGATGTTGGTAGTGGTCATCCTGGGCCCGGCCAGCTCGAAGTGGTAGCCCAGTTTAAGCAGGGTGGTGTTCTCTTTCAGCACCTTGATCATCTCCATCTCCGTCTTGCCTCCGCAGACGTGCCGCTGGTTCTGGAAGCGGAGCTCAGTGAGGGTGGTGTTGTAGCGCAGCGCTTGTATGAGGGCCAGGATGCCCTTGCCGGTGAGATGGTTGGAGTCCAAGTTGATGCTGGTGACGCTGGAGTTGTGGTGCAGCGTGCCAGCGACGGCGTATGCCACGTGGTCGTCGGCACGGCAGTTGGCCAGCGCCACCTTCCTGACATGGGTGTTGCAGCGCAGCGCCTCGGCCAGCTCGATGAGCGTCTTGGTCTTGATCACCTCGGAGTTGTTTACGTTGAGCTCCACCAAGGACGGGTCGTCGCCTCGGACCTGCTCCAGGAGCTCATCGAACATGCTGGCGTCTTCGTCGGCGACATCTTCCTCCTTCGTTTTGGAGGTCGGGGCCACGCAGTTGGTGAGTTTTTCTCGGGTGTCAACTTTCTGCTCTTCTGCTTTCTGTTGCTTCAAGTGATCGCTGTGGTTGAGCAGTTCTTCACCTCTTCTCGTTCCATCCTCCTTCTCAGAGGCTTGCCGTTGCACTCTGCGAGCCGCCTTCTTTTCCTTATCCTCATCCTGAGGCTTCTTCTCCTCGGGAGTCAGGTTCTCCTGTGATTTGTTCTGCTTCTCCAGCATCCTGGAAACCAGTCCCTGTGTCCTGAAGCTGTCGGATCGCCGAACCCGCTCCCTGCCTGCTTCCTTCTCGCTCTTCTCCCGTAGCCTGGAGATAATGTCCTTGGTCTTGGTGTCATCTCTTCTCCTGCAGTCCTCCCTACGGGTGTCCTCCTTCTTCTTCTCCTGGAGCTTGGATATCACGTCCCTTGTTTTGCTCTCGCGATTGTCTCTCTTGTCTGTCATCCTGTTGTCCTCACAGGCTGTTTTCTCCTTGCAACCATCCTTTAGGTCTCTGGAGAGCTGACTTTGACCCCCTTTTGAGGATTCTGGAACTTTCTCGTCGCCATCATCAACTTCGTTTTCTCCTCGTCCTTGGACTTCAGTGGTGTCGTTGCACTTCTGGCTCAGGTCCGTCTTTCTCGGGTAATCCTGTTTCCGGCTTTCCTTCTTGGGTTGAGCCTGTGTGAGGGAACAAATATGAGCATGTTTAATTCACAGTTGAACCAGACCACAGAATTTAATGCAAGCCAAGCCTAAAGTGGAGGACACATGTAACAACTGATAACATCTTAATCAATTCGTTGACCATGAGGGACTTCGCACATGACAAGGATTTTTTAAAAATCCTGTTCATACTTCTCCTATCAGGTGTGGCGTACTCCAGATGACTAACACAAGACATCGCACGCATGACATAACCATTGACAATCATCTCTTTCCACAAAAAGTACATCTGTAATGCCAAGACTGACCTGTGAGAGGCAGTATGGTGGTACAGGGCATCCAAATTGTAATAAATAAAAAGAAGAAGCAAGAGAAAAAGCTAGGCTAACAGTTAACATTGTTTCGTGACAATTACAGAGTCTGTGGCCCAGGCAAACTTTATGTTCACCACACAAATCAATACATAAAGACTTTTAGAATCGTCTGCTTCAATCTTTTTTTTTTTTTTTTTTTTTGTATCCTACCCCAATGATTTCAGAGCATTTCAGACACGTTTGACAATTGAGTCCAGGTTTTCAAAAAAGATATAATTGTAATTCCCCCCCACCCCCTCCGATATTGAGATTAGGATTTAATATGGGATTATTTTTCAAGGACCTCTTCCCATTAATTTTGTTAAACAAAAGTTGGGAAAAGTTGCTTCAATCCGCCCTGGTGATCTGTTTGTGTTAACCTCGCTTGGAGCAAGCTCAGCCTCTGCGTCCCTTTACGACCGTCCGGCTTCTCATCCGTCTGCGACACGCCATGTGTGTTTATAGTGGCCATCTTTTTTTTTTTTTTTTTTTTTTTTTTTTATATGGCTCAGGTTTGCCAAGTGTTTGATTTGTGATCCCCGCCGTGAGCCAGGCTAGCGGACGCATCCTTAAAAGGCAGTGAGCGTAGGAGCGATCAACCGAGGAATTCCAGCAGGGCCATGGATTAAGGAGCCGTACGCCCAACTGAGTGCACAGAAACTCTTCGACAATGGACCGCAGTGCTTCAAATCAAATCAAATCAAATCAAATCAAACAAAAGATCATTAAAAAATATATGTACAACATTCAAAAGGGGGCGGTTGCTTGCGAGGAGTTGAATGTCAAATGTAATCAGGCCTCGGAGGGATAAACAATATTCTGGGCGGCCCGTTGGGGATCTGATGGATCCAGCTGGCCTCTTGCTTCAATCCACCCACACAAACAACACATGAGGTCTCAGTCCTTAAATGCATCCTTCGTTTTCTATAAAGCTTGTCCTCGTTTGGGTCATGAGGTAGCTGGAGTCTATACCAGCTGACTTTTGGGGAACGAAGCGGGATCCACCCTGGCCTGGCTGCCAGCCAAAATCACAGGAGACACATTGACATCTAACCACTAATGCATCTTTTTGCTATAGCTTTGTCCTGCATATCCCAGATGACTTTTAGCGAGAGAAGTGGGATCCAAACTGGAATTGTCCCAAGCCACTCACAGGGCATATTCCCCTCCTAAAATAAAAAATCAATTAAAACTCCTTCCATCTGTTTTCTATTGTGAATCTCCTCATTAGGGTTGTAGGTGAGCTGGAAACTATCCAAGCTGACTTTTGGTGAGAGAATTGGGGTAGAGGTTCAAATGGTCATTCGCTAATCAAAGTTCAGACTCCCAGTTCACACCGATAGACAATTTAGAGTCTTTAATTCAAGCTGACTTTTGGTGAGAGAAGTGGGATCCACACTGGAGTGGTCACTCGTCAATCTGAGGCAACATATTGTCAAACATTCACATTCACACCAATGGACAATTTAGAGTTTCCAGTTACACCTGACGTTTGATGAGTGGAAGCGGTCAGCCAATCACATGGCACATGCAAGCAAATAACCATTCAGACTCACGTTCGTGCCAGTGTTAAAATAATTTGGGGGTTTTCATTTTAGTTAGTTTTAATTCATCTTCACTTTTGTTTTCAAATTCACTTAGTTCTAATTAGTGTGAGGAGCAAGTTTGTTAATTTTTATTTTTTCAGAAAACGGGGGTTGTTTTGGTTTCGTTTTCGTTTTATTTGTTAAAAAAATAAATAGAAGAGATGTCGAGTGCAAAATATTTTTTTTTAAAAGAAAGGTCACAAAGTACTGGGATTGTGGAATAAAGTAAATGACAATTCTCAAACGATTCTCAGACTGTCCTTCGATAGTTAGGGATCTACAATACCGAAATAAATACATTTGAAAGGAACCCAGGAAGCACATGTATGATATGAATGAATAAAAATGAAACTATAATTCTAGTTTTATAAACATACTATATAGTTTTAATTTTGTTTGCACTTTTCGAAAAAGCTTTTTTGTTTTGATTTCATTTTGTGAATGAAAATATTTTGACTATGTTAGATATTTTCTTTAGTTTTCGTTAACTATAATAAACGTGGTTTAAAACAAAGGACAATTTGGAGTCTTCAATTCCAGCTGACCTTTTGGTGGGAGAACTGGGATGCACCCTGAATTGGCCACCAGCCAATCGCAGGCACATCACTGACACTCGCACCTATGGACAACTTCAAGACGTGAACCTAACATGAATATTTTGGGGATATGGGGAGCAGAAGCAGAAAGATCGGAGTTGAGATTCAAACCCAGAACCTCAGAACTGTGAGGCAGACACGCTAACGTTTGATATGCAGTATCTCAAATAAGACGCAAAACAACAGGACTGTACCTGGAGCGAGTCCTCTTTGTGGCTGCTTTTGGCGTTCTGGTGGTTGTTTTTGCCTGCGACAGGCTCGCCTCGAAGGCTCACCTCACCGTCCTCCGGGTTGACGTCGGGCACTTTCATCATGTCTTTCTCCAGCTCCTCCATCTCCTCCGGAGAGAGCGTGGACAGCAGGGTATCCAGGTCCGGATCCTCACTCACCTGCCGCCCCATCCGGGTTAGGCCTCTCACTTTCCGTCTGGACATACTTCGACAAGATCTCGTTTGAAAACTGCCAAAATAATAAATCAGGATAGCAAGTAGCTTTGTGGCCAAAATATTCCCATACGTCCCAGAAAGAGCGAGGCGTGGATCCCCGTTTGGACTCACATGCTTGCAAAGAGGGCGGCCGGTGACGAAGGGCTGCTGAGAGGCTGGGACATTCCTTGGAATCCTGGGAAAGTGCATGTCCATGTTTAGAGGACGGCGCGCTCCTTTAAAGGGAATGGGAAGGGCTGCAGTTTACTGAGGTGCCAGATGAGTTAGTGTACACACAATTCCTCTCATTACACAACTGCTATTTTTGTTCATTCCGGATTTGGTTTACTTCGTTTTTTTGAAGGGATTGGGGGGTGGGAAGATCACTTCAACGTTTGGGAATGGGCAATAGCGATGACATGTATTGCACCGATGCACAACAAATAAGTATGGCGATGCCTTGAGATACAAGTTTAGGTACTTCTGTGACCAACTCATTTGTATCTCAAATGACCTTTCGCCCTTGAAATGAACGGAAATGCCATGAACCTATTCAAGTCTCCCATATAAAACCAACCCCAAAAAAGTAATGTGTTTGTTTATGAAGACAATTAGGACTACAGTTTATCAGAGCATTAGAATGAAAAGAATTGAACAGTTCATATCCCAATTTTTGCTTAATTCCAAGGGACTTGACATGTTGCTTTATTGTAAAACTACAAGTTTGTTCAGCATAATGACTCGGTCCTGCTAAACGTTACCTTTAAAGTTAACTAGTAAAATAAATAAATAAATTGCATACTGTACATATATTACCATTTTATTCCTGAAATGCTTTTACTGGAATAAAAAAAAAATACATTTCCTGCTCATAGAGATGACTCAATGACTTTTTCTCTTTAAGATCAAGACGAGTTAAACCTCATAAATGCAGATATTTTTAAATGTAAAGTAAATGTACGTACAGTAACATGTAACATTCATCCATCCATCTGTTTTTTTTTTTTTTAAATCCGCTTATCCTCACAAGGGTCGCGGGCGTGCATGGGGCCTATCTCAGCTGTCTTTGGGGAGTAGATGGGGGACACCCTGAAATGGTTGCACATGTAATCAAACATTCTTTTCTCCATGGATGGAAAGTGGAAGTGGACACTTGATTTGCTGCCATTTGCAACATGGCCACTTGAAGCTGCTAAAGAGCACAACACACTGGCCCTTAAATATATCTTCTAAGTAAACACTAGTGGCAAGTAAAAATCATTAGAATAAAACAGGACACAGACGACATACATTCCAAAGTTAAACTTTATGTCATTAGAAATAAATTCTTCACTCATGTTATATATTACAATGTCATAGCTTCCATTTTAGTTTTTTCCCAACAAGTTTTATAAGACACACGCAATCAAGAGGTTAAAAAAAAAAACAACTAAAAAAACAACAACTAAAAGACACTGAGGAATTCCTAAGTGGAGTACAGGTTAAAGCGTTCAAACATTTCCAGTGTGCTTTACAATGGCTCAGTAACTCTGGACATAACACATTTTGCTCTCACCGACTAAAATACAAATCGAAGATCAACCACATGAGCGGCGGTGAGAATAAGAGAGGAAAACTGCAGTTTGCCAAATAAACGTAAGGGTATAAACCTTTGAGATTTTTTTTCCCTTCACATTATGACGAGTATTGATCCGATTGCCTAAAAATGCTACTAGAGGTCAATTTCATGACATTGGAAAGCCAGAATATTGTTACAGTATCGTCTTCAAAAACAATCTTGTTAAAACACCAGAAAACAGATGAGGAGTGGGATTACAAAATATGGACTTTGATGTATGACCCATTAAAATGAATTTACACTGCAGAGCCAAGTGCTCAATTCCGATTGAATGCCGACAGTGGATAGAAAAAGTCTACACACCCCTCTTCAAGTGCCCGGGTTTTGTGATTAAGAACAACAAAAATAAATAATAAAAGCTTCAAGACGTTCACCACCATTAAAAACAAAATATTTTCGAGAGGGAAAGTAAAAACACAACAACTGAAGTACTGCGGTCACACCAGTGTGCACACCCTCATATTAACAGGGATGTGGCTGTATTCAGAGTAAACCGATCACATTCAAACTCCTGTCAGCACGCTGCTTCTCTCCCGAAATGAAATTCATCTTTTCTTGTACGCTCACAAACACTTGGCCATTGAACAGTAGTTGTGTTCCAGATGTCCTGTTTTGTTGGTGGTAAATGCACCTCGTTCAGTCAAAAGTCCAAGTGTGTTTTTTTACTTCTCTTGCAACGCGGCTACTTACGGCCCGTGTAGTCTTGTGCAAATACTCTTAAGTCAGTGGTTCTTAACCTGGGTTCGATCGAACCCTAGGGGTTCGGTGAATCGGTCTCAGGGGTTCGACGGAGCCTCTGCCATGGAGGGTAAGACATGGCCGACTCAACATGTCAATTAGTTATGACACGCCCGCTTGGCCATCACTGGCTGCAGATGATCACATGACATTGCTTGTCCAATCGGTGCTGTGGGACATTTAGTTTGCTTAGTAGTCAGTGTGACTGTCGTGATAGTACGCCTTACAATTTAAAAAAAAAAAAAGGATACTTATCTCTTGAAATTGTATTCACTTTTTTCTGTTTTTAATAAATGTTTTTTTAATGTCTTGAACTTGTAAAAAAAAAATCAAATTTTTATTTTTCATTATTGAAGGGTTCGGTGAATGTGCATATTAACTGGTTGGGTTCGGTACCTCTCAGAAGGTTAAGAACCACTGGTCTAAGTTGAGTTGACGTTGCACCGTTCATATACAATGCTAGTGGGGTGTATTTTTTGGTTGCCCATGTGCCACTTGACCCTCGCAGCGTAAATCCAGTGTTAGTTTCAGGGCAATGGTGAGGCGGAATGTTGTGTGTCCAGTTCAAAAATTCAAAGCAGCGTAACTAAGCAGCAACTCCCCTGACTTGATATGTTACACCAACAATCATTGCAACAAATATTCAACACGGACGTCAAGCTAGCACATCCTACTTTGACTTCAATGCAAGTGCAGTTCTACTTCATTTTGGGAAGGAGAAAAGAAAGGAAGTATGTAGCATGCTGACGCTGGTCAAGGTGCAACTAATAGAAAAACTTCGACCGACAAATGAAAAACAATGCAGTGCTTCGACTAATGAGAGAATTCGAAGTAAGCATAAGGTAAGCATTCGGTATTTCGAGCAGCGACGATGGCATACGTACCGGCAATAGCAGCGCCACACTGGAAAGAAAACAGCACTTCTAAATTCACAACTTTACATTTTGTTATTTTGGTCTGGGGAAAGTTAGCATGTTTTTTTCCCCCACAGAGTAAAGATCTCGCTTTATTCTCGTTTTTATTCGTAAATATTATGACCTGTTCTTGTGAAATCATAACTTCTTATAATACTATTTTTTTTCTCATCAAATTAGAATTTTTATTCATGTTAAGATAATGACAATTGCGAAAGAAGACAGGTTTTGCAGCAGAAATGAATGTGAAATGACGACGAGTGGAAATTGGTCATAACATGCTTTGCTATTTTTCTTGTGGAATAGTTACGAATTGATTCTAGTATCATCGCATCTTATCTCTCATGTTAAATGACATCTTTCGTTCAACTTCATTCTATTTTTTCCTTTGTAAAATAACAAACTTGTTCTTAATGTATTTGGGTAAAATGAAAACGTATTCTTTTGGAACGTGAAAGAATGAAAATGGACTTCTGTCATCACTTTGTTTGTTGTAAAATGATGCACTTTTCTCATCGTGTTGAAACTTTGCTCATACAACATTTTTGGTAAAAATGAACTAATCATATTTTGACATATAATCTTACAACTTTTTTTTTATCACGTTAATGACCATTCTTTGGTCACTTGGTTCATTGTGAAATGCTTAACTTTCTGCTCTGTAAAATAGAACTACAGAAAGTATTGAAGAAATATATCAATTTCCGTCGTTTTATAGTTTGGCTCTGAAATGAACAGTGTGAGAACTTTTTTTTGCTCAGGTTCCAACTTCGTTGTCTTTGTTTACGCAAAAATGCGGCATTATGACTATTCCCATTAAAATGACAATTTTTTCAGATTACAGTTTAATCTTGTTATAACTTTTTCATTCGTAAAACGATAGCTTTTAAAGTTAAATTGTGAGGGGGTTTTTAATGGCTTTGCTCGTTGTAATGTGACTAACTCGTAATCTTGCAACTTTGTTCTTATTATTTCCTGAAAAAAATACTTCTTTCAGTTCAATGGCAACTTTTACTCATAATAGTAATTTTTTATTATATATTACATATTTATGGTATTCTATTATAACTACATCTTTGCTCTTTTGACATCTTTATAAACAAAAAAATTAACTTCTGATTTCTAGTAAAATTTCTGACTTCATCCCTCCCTGACTTTCACTTCCACCAACATTTGTCTTGTTCTTTTTTTAAAACGTTTCGCATAATATTAAGACTTAGTTCTCATGAAAAAAACTTTTTTTTCCTAAATTTTTCTTTTCAGCATGGCACTTGAAAACTGCTTTGTACCAAAGCCATTACTCTTAAATGACAGACATCATGAAATCATATTTGTGGATCAGTCACAGAGATGAGCTAGTGTGTTGCTTCATGTCACATTTACACTACTTGACAGCAAGCGTCAAAATGTATTTGGGGAAAGGATAATAGAACGAAAAAAAAAAAACCAAAAACAACCAAACGATGGAACGTCACAACGTACATACCCTGTGATCCCAGTAGCGGTGTACAACTCATCCAAACATTTCAACCTGTCAAATATTTGGATGCACTTTCCCATCTTCTGGGCGACTTTGGTTCACCAAAACCATTTAACAATAGGAAAGTCAAAGCGCAGCGGGTTAACGAGGCCACTTTCTAGTCAGATTTACTGCAGCTTGGGTCAAAGAAAGAGTCTTTTCAACGGCTGACCACACACTGTGCAATCACACTCAATTTGCAAAAGGGAGGACACAAGTGGAAATGTTGTTAGACTTCAAAAAACTAATATATTATAGAATTTTTATCTTTATGCTGAATGAACACTAAAGCATTTTTTGTTGAGGTGTGTGCGAGATGTCTTTTCTTTTTTTTCAACAGTCCCCTTTCTCCCTTCGCTGTCACTGACCACTTTCAATAAATGTGTGTGTGTGTGTGTGTGTGTGCGTGTGTGTGTGTGTGTGTGTGTGTGTGTGTTTACGTGATCAGTGACCAGGATACTGCGGAGGAGAGTACGGTGGAGGAGCTGAAAAACAGAGAAAACATTTATGGTCAGGGATTCACAACATAGCGGTGCAATAATCAATGGACAGGTCATCCATTCTCAAATTATTGGACAACTATTTTGCAAATCGTTTTAAGACATTTATTTAAAATGAACAAATCCTCAGAATTTCCACCTATCTCCGGGAGATTTCTGTAGTCTCACACAAATGCAGACTGATTTGTGATGAATCAAATAAGAATTTAGCAAATTGTTTGGACTCCATGATCAACATGGTTGCCTATTTTCTGACATGTTAAAGGCCAAACCAGTGATAAAATAATAGCAGTTTATGATTGTGCTATTTCTGCACTGTCAATTTGAAATGCTGTCCCATTTTTGAGTAAATTAAACATTGTTTTTCTTTTAAATCCAATTCAGAGAAAACATTATTGACAGACGAATGGATTATTAAAAAGATAAATACATTTGCTGCAGCCCTACATCATATAGAGGATATTTATGATGGTACCCATTTCCTTCAATGATTATTACATTTATGTAATAACATTTCCATTTCATTTCCAGCGAGAAAGAGTAAAACATGTGAACCACTTCTCCTGTGAAACAAGATTTTTCTTTTCTTACTTTTTCTTGAAAATTAACTTTTATAGTTCATGTTGTAAATCTACAAAAAGAAATCAATTTCTTTATTCTCATAATATTCCGACTTATTTTATATCAAATATTATGACATTTCACAAAAAATTCAAATAGATTCAGTATTTGCCTTATTTCACTTAAAACTGTAACTCTTCAGTCACTTAAAATAACTACAACTGTCCATTTAATACCGTAAATTGACGCTTTATCTCCATGTAAAATTTAACCTGTTTAAAAAAATTGCTTTCATGTTGTAAAATTAAACACATGGTGTAATATCAAACACTGTATTCTCATAATACCTCAACTAAATTTACATAAAATGACAAAATTTTCATGGCATCATAACTCTTTCCAACTTTATATATTACGGCGCTTTTCTGCATTAAAATTACAACTTTATTGTCAGAATGTTACGACTTTTGCGTCAAACGACCACTTTACCAAGGCAGATTAAGCGCAATGTGGAGATGGAGCGCTTGTTGTAAACATTAAAGGGCATGGCAAGTATTATTAGAGAGGATCTTGTGTTATGTGGAGATGATGTCTTCAGCAATGTGGTCGCACCACCAAGTTGGATGCGCCCACATTGATATGAGGAGCTACGCCTACATTGAGTAAATGCACCGATTACAATGTGGTGATTACCTTGGCTGTATGCAGGATCCATATGGGGAGGAGGATAATGTCCAGGCTGCATCACGGGGTACTGCGAAGGCATGCCCGGGTACTGGGGCGCCATAGCAAAGCCCGCATGCGGATACTCGGACGGCCCGAGTGGTTTTCCGTAGGCGTCGTAGAGTGGCTCAACGGGGTAGCTCGCCATTGGGATCTGCTGGGCTGGGGGACAAAGACGTTCCCATTGTGGCATGAGGGACGACTACGACTTTCAGGTGGACCAGTTTAAAATAAAAAGGAAAACTTACTGTCATAAGGAGTCCTGCCCCGCTGCAGCCTTCTCTGGTAGAGATAACAGCAGGAACACATGAAGCAGCATACCATGGTGGCGATGATGGCCACGAAGAGCAGGATGGATGAGGCGATGCCAGCTAATGTAGTCGGACTGATAGGAGCCAAACGACACGGATTAACACAATGCAGTACAATGCACAAATGAAACAATATACTGTCGTCACTCTGCATATTCGCGATTCACCTATTTGTGTTTTTCCCATGGAACCTATTTCCAGCTCTTCGCTGAAAAAAAAATCAAGGGCAGCAACCAACAATTATTTTTAATAATCAATCTGTCACTTCTTTTGTCAGTGAATTGTTGAATTGGATTAAAAAAAAAAGCATGTTTTAATATCCATCCCCGTATTGAAAAACAGGATATCTGCAAATGTGATTGTTGTCTAATTTAAAAGCAGATGTTTGCAATTGGTGGCAAATATCTTACATTGAAAAAAAATCTGCTTTCATGAAGGACTACAGAAAATATATAAAAACCATGGTTAAAATGTTCTTTGAAGTGAGTATAATGTTCAAAAATCAAGTTTGGCACACTCAAGGTATGGAGTAAGGGGCGGGGATTCCCAGAGTAATCGACAGTATAAGAGATATCAAAAAGATTTGTTTGTGACAGCCCTATTTTGAACGCATTGAAGTTGATTTGGGAGTTGTTCGTGTTTAAACGAATAGCAAACATTGACTTTGGGTGTAAGTCCGAGTTCTAATATTAGCTACTTCATTACAGTCCAACATCGTTTGCTGGAAGCGTGACTTAATTCCCTGCAAGTAGTTATTGATTGACACAGCCACACCAGTGCACTTTCAATCGCTTTATTGAACAAATAGAAAGAAAATAAGCACATTCATACACCAGCTGCCGATAGCTACAACTCACGCCGAGTCACTCTCCAGTCAACACTATACTCATTTGCTGACACCTTGTAACTCACCAGGGCAGGCGTCTCCTCTTAAAGTCATACTCGATCAAAGTCACCACTATAGTAAAGCTGGCAATCCTAAATGGACAAAAGTAATTCCTGCCCCTTGAAGCCACACATTCTTGTGTTGAATAATTTAATCATGATATTTTAACTGACTACTCGATGAATCAAATGGGATAATCGCTAAAAATAATGGATTCTAAAAATATGTGAGAGTTGCAGCCCGGGTCGAGGAAGTATGATGAAGTGATACATCGCGACTGAGGTTCGGGCTTTCTATGTTGGGGAGGTTAAATTAAGCTTGGGTTGTTAACAAGAAACAATATGCATGTAGTGTACACACGTATTTGGTCTGTAAGGCATTCATTTTCAAGAACAATGCAAAATGATTTTGAAACTTTAAACTCAGAAAATAGGCGATAAGAAACAGGAGAAATAAAATATTTGTTGCAGTTTTTCACTATTTGAGGCAAGGCTATGTTCCTCTTCCGTTGTGAGTCATATGTGTGTGGGTTTGACTGTTTTACTGTAATCTCCAGCGAATAGCGTTGGATTACCGTACAATGGTTAATATTTAGCAACAAAATGACCGCTAAAAATGGTAGGGAAAAAAAGTGACTCGTCAGGCTCAGAGTGATTGGTTTTGTTTTTAAATTATATCCACAATAGCGCCCATCCCAAAGAGATTAAATTCACAGTTACATAATGAAGATGAAGCCAGGAAAGCTTCATTTTGTACTGACAGCATGCAAACAAGCTTTGACTTGAGTTGTTTTGCTTAAATTGTTCACTTGGCGACATTTACTGTCAAGCACTTCTAATTATTGAGGGACCTACTCCTACTCTTGTGAAACAATTTTAGTTGCAGTTTGGGGTGAATTTCTGCAAAACTATCCCGTCAGCTCATGTTGCAAGACCTCACTGCAGCCAGGCTGAAAGGATCGACTCGGATTATGACAGAATGTCACTCATCAGGCAGCGACCTAACCCAAATTTGCATGTACTGTACGTCAGAACACGCTGGAGTATATCACTAACCTACACTAGCACAATCGTCAGGTCATAATGCAGTAAATACTACATTTATATAAAAAGCACTAAAAGGCCCAAATATAAAACAATCAAATACAAAACTAAGTGTTTCTTTTCCTTTTTCATCCGCCCAAAGTCAGGAGGGACAGGCTTGAGATAACCCACGAACAGGACAACAAGCACTTCAGAACATTGACGGACAAACGTTGTGCTCATCAGTGAGTGAAGATATAGACTGCTGTTATTTTTGTTGTGGCAGTTAGTAAGCTTCCATTCTGTTAAACAAAACATGTGTGCCAGATATCCTATACTTATGTTTACAAAATGAGACAAGGCGGCACTGTGATCGACTGGTTAGCACGTCGGCCTCAGTGCTCCCGTGTGGAGTTTGCATGTTCTCCCCGTGCCTGCGTGGGTTGCCTACCACATTCGAAAAACATCCATGGCAGGTTGATAGGGCATTCCAAATTGTCCCTAGGTGTGATCGTGAGTTTGTTTGTCTATGTGTGCCCCGTGATTGGCTGACAACCAGTTCAGGGTGTACACCGCCTACTGCCCGAAGGCAGCTGGGATAGGCTCCAGCACGCCCGCGACCCTTGTGAGGATAAGCGGATTGAAAAGTGGATGGATGGAAAATGAGACAAGCGATTCACGGTTCGACTCTGGTGGTTCATTAAATGAAGGGCCGCACCGACCTGAACTGGAAGAGCATGCAGCGCTTCTGTTCGCGCTCTGTAATCATCTTGAAGGCGTCCAGGCAACAGTAGCGGCGATGACAGTTTCCGCAGCAGAAGGTGATGAGTGGGCAGTCGAAGCCGTTGTGCCACGTGCCGTTCTTATCCACGTACCACAGGCAGTCCTCATTGGCTCCAACTGCAGACAAAAATGCAAATGCAACATTAGGGGAGAGGTATTCAATTTATGTTAGTGCAGAACTGCCTTCCAGCATACCGAGAACAGTTTCCAATACGGCCTTAAAACAGGATCCAACATGAAGTCTTATTTGGGTGGTGATCCTGTTGGGCCACCATGAGCCATGTTCTGGTGGCACGGCCAGAATTGGCACTGGCCCCTTATCTAAGGCTTCAAGAAAATATTACTTTGCTGTAGTTACTTCTTTTCCCATGTTTTTCAGAATAAAATCTAACTATTTAACATTTGACATTTTTTTGGGCTTCATATCTTGTTCAAGCCATACCTTGTGGACTGACGTGACATACACTTTTTTTTTTGCAGAGCAGTAAATAAGATCAATGATATTTGATCAATTTAATCGATTAAATCTCAAGTATTGACAAGTATTGATTTCAACAGTATTTATGTAAAAAAAATGCACGAGCTCAGGGAGGCAAGCATCCGAGAAATGGTGTCCCGACACAGTCAAGTAGTGGCCTCGGGCCATTGTTAATGTAAAACACTACATTTAAATGAAATCTTAATTTTATTCCCTTCACTGATAGTAAAGAAGTACATTCAAATTGACATCGCAATGTAGTACAATGCAATTTTCAAATCGCACAGGAGGCGATTTGAAACCTAGCAGACCAAAACATTTATGCACAGTAAATATGATATTGTTTAGGATAATATAGATGAATATCATGCTCATGTTTGTTAAAAAATATATCGGTAGAGGATCTTGAAAAAAATGCATATTGAATCTTAATCGCAATATTGAGGGTGGCGAGGGCGTCTGGTTGGATCATTGCAATTAGATTTATTTTCAAAATCATTCACACCCATCGGAAAACTCAACTGACAGGAACGATTCATTAAAATTAAATTAAATCCCCAATTGTCTTGTGTGCAACTTCAGTCATGACAAAGAGCAGAGGGTCTTCAGTTTAAGACAGCACAAGATAGCTCGCTCTGAAGACTTTTATCCTCTTCCTGCAGTAAGTAGTAAATGCTCGTGATTATTTATTTATTAATTTTTTTATTAGTTGACTTTTGTGTTTTCATAACCTCATTTTTTTTGCATCTGCACCATAAAACACGACATAAGGACTTTGTGGGGATTTTTTTTTATTTGTGGGGATTTTTTTGTGCCCTGTCATTGAGCGTGTTAAAATATGATGCGCAAATCTGTTCAGATGCACCTGCATGTACAGTACTGTGATACAGCAAATGGCTCATTAAATGAAATATGGTGCTTTGGTTGCTTCCCAACACTTGCATAACTGGAGAAAATAAAAAGGTAATACGTCTTTTAGGGTAACTTGACGTCATTTCAGCAGACTGCGAGTACTGTATTTAAAAAAGATTTGATGACCTCTCATGCGTGAGAATACCGACCGGAAGTTAGCACACTACCGTAGACCAAATGCGGAAATGTCCATAATGTCCATTCATTTGCGTCGGTGAGTTAATAAAATACCCGGATGGATTCCTACAGCAAGGAAAAGAAAAATTACGAAAATATTTTTTTTAATTGTAAACTATATGGCTTACTTAATTATGCACGGTGTTTTCATTGCCAATAAACAATATAGCAGTTATGATAAAAACATAAATAAAATAAAAAAAACCTTGAAAAGACACCAACGATTCGCGCGCGAATAAACGATTTTAAATAGCCCGAAATAAAACATACGAAACGGGTAACGTTCATTAGTCAAGGTCAACCATTGGCCATGAGCAGTTAGCAAGCGGTGCGCCCCGGATAACAAGGGATTAACACCAAAATCTTACCAGGAGTGGAGCAAAGGACAACGGCTAGCATCGCCAACACAACGGCAGTCGTTGTCGTCGACAGTACCACTGATGCGCTCGTACCCGTGTGAAACGCCATTCTCGTCCCGAAGACAAAAAAAATGACTTGATGACTAACTGTTGTTGTCACACATTATCCAAGCTGGAGAGGAAAAACGAGGCGTTTCGGCGAACGGTGGTTTATTCGTCGAAAATGACACACTAACACACTGTGACGTCTTTCAACCCCGGCTCGGATGATGGCGGTGCTTTCACGGGTTCGCTAGAAAATGTCGGAGTTACCGATGTTTTGTGATACAAATGCGTTTTCACCCCAGAACGCCAGCTGTTTAAATACAGCGACAAAACACTAGTGTCGTCATTTTAGTATTATTTAAGAATCTTATGGACATTTCAATTGATGCTTTTCTTTAAAACGTCAATAAATACAACGTTGTGTAGAATGTGCACGGGTGGTGAACGCACCCCAATATCCATTGCGGACAATTTAAAATTTCGAATGCCCCAAGCAATGGAGCTGGACTTTGACGTGCCTTCAAAGTCAGAACTGCTGATCAACGAAATTTACACTATATTAGCACTGGGACTATTTCTTTGACGAAACATCTTTCAAACTTGTCTTTTTTTGTTTGTTTGTTTGGTTTTTTTTTTTACAAAAGATATATCATACAACACCAGGCAACAAATTAACATATTTTACATACATACATACATAACATTTTAACAAAATTAATTCCATGAAAAAAACTAAAATCATAACAATAGTATAAATAAAGAAAATAAAGATAAAAATCGATGATATGCGCGAAGTACTCTTTAAACATTTCAGAACACACTTTTTAACAGAGATATCGGATAAAGTTGGCACGTCCGTTTGGTATAAACATCTAATTTCACATTTTGATTTATTCAGTTTTAACCCAGAAGCAGATGTCATCGAATAGTTGTGAAATTGCGTATTCAATTTGCTGTTTGTCTCTTAGGGAACGGTGCTCCATCATCAGCCAGCTGGGTCAATGTAATTTCCTTCTTAAAAGTAGTTAGACCTTTGATAATTTTGATATATAACGAAAGGATTTCTACCGCAATTAAGAACAAACAAAGCAAACGAAAACATACTGGACAACCTTGACGGAGGGACTTCAGAAACGGAAATCTGTTGGTAGTTTTTGGATGTAGCATGACACAACTATCAATACCTTTGTAAAACATTCCGATCGTTGATATAAAATGTTGACCAAAACCAAATAGAGCTTTAAATAAAAACCGTATCAAAGGCTTTGTAGAAATCGAGTAAAACTATAAGGGAGTCATTATCAATGTAATCAGTAATCAAATAAATCAAGCACAACCCTTATGTTTGAGTACCGGTAATATGTCGGTTTGACATACATCCAGTTTGTGTTTCACTTATGATCTCATTCAAACCTTGATTTTACCTTTTAACATATACCAATGAGAGAATTCTATAATCTGTGTTTAAAAGCGTAATAGGTCTCCGGTTTCGATCAGAAGGTGATCTTTACCAGGTTGAGGTATCAATGTTATTACACTGTGTTTCATACATGTGGACATTTCTTTTTTAACAAAGCATTCTTTGAATCATGCAAATAGATGATCTTCAATAATATCCCAAAAATGTACAAGGAATTCCACTGAAAGCCCATCATTTCCTGGAGATTTGTTTTTTTTCATTGCGTGATAGCCTCAGATATTTCCAATTTGGTGATTGGTTAATCACATCTTACTTTAACGTGTTCTGAAAGAGTCGGTCGAAGTTCTTTAACCAATTCAATACATTTTCCACAATCACTGATGCAAGAGTTTGATTTATATAACAGAGTAAAAATCTCCAACATATTTTGAATGATCTAAATAATTGGTGGTTATGTTATCATTTATTTTAAGGGCTGAAACATCATTTCTTTTTTTATTACGTTTATCCATAGCAAAAAAACAAAAAACGAGTTACTCTCACCTAAGTCCATCCATTTGGCTCTTGACCTTATAAAAGCTGCTTCAGCCATGTTAAAAAAAGCCATTGTGAGACAAATACGTTTTCTTATCTTATTAACTTATCTTAGTATGTAACTATTTCCTCTTTTATTTCAATTCTTATTTTTTCAATTCAATCTCTTCATTGATATTTAGTTTCCAGAAACCCCGTATTGTTTTGTTGTTGTTTAAAACCAACTAAAAGAATAGTAACTAGTTTATGATCAGATAGTGGCGCAAAATAATGAAAAAAAAAATCGGAATCAAATTGCAAACACGATAGTGAAACTAACCATAACTCAATGCTTGACTGCAATGATCTACTAGCATTACTCCAAGTGTACTCTCTTTCGGAATTCAAGAATCGCCATACGTCTATGACTGATGGTTGTTCGCTAATAAAAGCAGTGCTTTTAATTGATATGTTCTGAATGGTATTCGATCTATAAGGTCAATCAGGACCATCATTAAAACCTCTCCCCCAGTATTAATGGGACCTCTTTATATTTTACTTTGAGCGTTTCAAAATGTTCACATAGCTTTGTGCACACGGCTTTGGCTTGATTATTATTGTTGCGACAAATTTCGAACAATAAAGAGGGTGTTATCGAATTTGGAAACCAAAATTACCCACCTCCCATCATCCTAAAAAAAGGTCTCGAAAATATTAACTTTGAATTTGTTAAAGTGAACAGCTACCCCTGCTGATTGCTCTCAAGCATGACAAAAACAACATTGATCATCTCACCGTGCTTTCCGAAATTTCACACCATTTACACTTGAATGAGTCCATTGAAAAAAAAATGTAAGTCTGCATTTTTTTCATCTACAAAACATGAAAACAGCTTTCCTTTTCGTGTGGTTGCGGATACCTCTAACATTAAAGGATATCATTTTATGGAACTGAAATGCATATTTGCATCGTTCAAATTTGTTTCACAACGGAAGCGGGCCCACAATGACGTCAGCATTTTTCCATCATGCGATTGGTTGCTCAGTCAAACTCTTACCCCCAAGTTTGACAATAAAAACACATCTGGAGCTTTCAACACTCATTAATACATTAATTTGTTTTCTTTATGCCGACGACGACTGATGGAGGACAAAAATTTTACTCGAGCTAGCATACTTAAAAATACGTTCAAGGTGCAGGTTCCTAATGAAGGCTCAGGTGACACAAAAACTAATGTGGGTCACTGGCAACAGCACATCATCCCAGATGCCATAATTTAAAGGGTACATACTATTGGAAATGTACTTTTTAATGGCTTGTTAAAAAATAGCTGTGTCTCTGGAGAGCCTGGACGTGCATCATATGTAAAACTAAACAACCAAGTTAATCGTTGGCGAGCTGCCTGTTTCTGAAAATGCATCTTAGTGAGCCCTAATGCCACACTATTTTGTAACAGTATAGGGGAAAAAAATATTTTGATAGCCACTGAAAGTGCAATATAAACCCGGAAAAAGCTGTCTGTACAGACTTTTATTTAGAAATATTTTTTAATACCCACATTTCCGCGGGCACAAGCAAACGAAAAGGCTGGGAATCAGTGACACCGCCCCCATGATGATAAGAAACAGTCATTATTTCCTGGGAGAATAAGGCCTACAAAATTTATGAAGAGGAAGTTCTTTTTCTTCTTGCGTTGGGTGGAGGTGATTCTGTCTGTGTATTTTTCACACACGTAAAAACAGGCAGCGTTATAAACAGAACTTGTCAAAGAGTTCATATGTCACAGTTCACCTCGCCCACCATGAAAGCCTTGACCTCCCATTCAAGCCTCCTGTTCAGTTTCTAAAGTGTCACCAGGACACAGTCCTTTACAAGCGTGGAGAACCACGGTGTCGGAGGGAAGTGCGTTCCATCTATTCCCTCTGCCATCAGCACATAATTGTCATTCTTCTTCCCGGGCGATTGATGCTGTGAGTGTCGGTGACGAGGCGACAGAGGAAAGGCAAGCAGGAAAGGATGAAGGGAAGGGATCAGCAAAGGCTAGAGGCCTATAGACTGCAGCGTTTGTCTCTCGTTGTTGTTGAGGTGGCCTGAGAACATGCTGTAGCACGGTTGCTGGGCAAACTGGGTCAGGAAGTCTGTCAGGTATGCCTAGGTAGAAAAACAGGAAGCGAAAATGTCAAATGTGACCCATCGTAGCAAAATGAGTCAGAACTTGTTCAGGTAGATTCCAAGACATGAGGCAGTAATGGTTCAGTAGATCAAGCTTCTTCCCTTTTTATGGATAAAAGCATTATTTTTCATGAAATAAACACCATGAAGTGTTCAAAAACTACATGATGAAAAACCTACTCAGCAACAGTCAATCCCCAAATACAACTCAGCAATGGCTCATTACTGTTGTTAGAGATATCCGCATACACAATCCCCAACATACGGTATCAACTTAAAGTCATGTGGCTAATTTTGTACTCATTTCAATCATGGGTGAGCAAAAATTATGCCGAAACTTGTCATGAACTCGAGCATAGTAACAGTTGGTATGCTAGAGTTCATTATCGCAAAATACTGGCCTCAGATTGGTTTATAGATCCTTCTACCCTGATGTCTTGTTTGTACGCCGTGTGCCAAAAACATCCACGTGAGAGGGCAAGTGGTTGAGGGCACACGGTCCAGTGAGTGAGATAACAAGAGCAAAACAGGCGCCACGACCGTTTTGTGTTCACAACTGTGTTGTTTACAGTTGCTCTAATTGCTCACATAGAGGTTGAAAAAAAAAAGTTCTTTTTGATACCGGCAGTGATGTTTAGTTTTAAATCATGGGGAGGAGCAATTGTGTGAAAGAAGACGGGCACGATGGCTATCAAATCTTCGACGTGACCACTGTTCATAATCAAAACATACAAGGATTTGCTCTGATGACTTTATATCAGGTGGAGTTTTTTCTGTTTGATGTGTAGTGGGCTGTAAGATCGAAATTTGATTGTAAATTCAAGGAAGACGTGATGCTTACCTGTTTGCATACCCATGCAAGTTTTAGTTTGCATTGCCGTTCAACAATCTCTTAATTATGTAAGAATAGATTTTTTTTTTTACGCTGATGGTATATCAAAACGTTTTTATCAGTCTTGCACACAGTGTCCCAGAAGAAGCTCAGCTGAGACTACGAAATGGCAGTCGACGATTTCAACAAAATCAAGGCAGTTTGAGGCCAACAGATTGAAAGATGATCACGAACCGCTTCCGGGTGCGGCACATCCGGAACTGGAGAAGAAACACTTTTCATTTGCTGACTGAATGTTTTCAGCTACCGGTATATAAAGTTGGAACGCTAGAGTTGTTTGCTTCATGTCTAATAAAATCTTTTTTTTCTTAATACTGTATACACGTATTTGTAATTGACATATTTATACTGTACTACATTTTCATGTTTTTATATCTCTAAAAGTTCATGCAGCATTATACTGTACAATGTAGTTGGCGGCCATTTTATTGCAAATGGTTACAACCAACTACCGTTATAACATACAGATTCGTTATGTCCCCCGAGGTACATTGCAACCAAGGTCGACTCCATAAACAAGCACGCTGTAGCATTCCAGCTAACAGCCGTGTTTATGCGGAAGTCATGTGGGCAGGAGTGACCATCACTGGCAACGCATGGACATTGAAAATAAGTACTGGACAGACAAATGAATAGTCACACCTTGGGACACTTTAGATGAACCTAATATGCATGTTTTTGTAAAGTGGGACACAAAAAAAGCCTGAATGCTCATGAGTGTACCTGCAGGTCAATCTGATCCAAGGGATCATTTAAGGCATCGGGATCATCTTCGTCATCATCGTCGTAATAGTCATCATCTGGAAGACAGAACAAAATGGTGGACGTTGACGACACTGTATTTGAAGTCGACATAAAGGAAATACATAACAAGGGAATAATGTGCATGTACCATATTTGTTAGAGGCTATGAGGTCTGATATCAGTTGCCCTGCCAGCCCTTCTTCGTCATCGTCATCATCCTCGTCACCTTCTTCCTCCTCCTCCTCACACATGCTGTTTGAATCTAAGCCCAAACACAAAATGGTGAGGAAGGCTGGGTTGAACAAACAACGCGAGTCAGGTCAGTTCTTTTAAAAATCGGATTGACCGCAAGTCTCGCTGGTCACCTTGGCTCCAGTCGGCTGGGTTGGCTCGGCTGGCGTTAGCCTCCACGACGGTCGACAGTTCATTGATGATCAGTTTAAAGATTTTCACCAGCAAAGGAATGTTGGTCCAGCGCTCCGGATCTGCCAAGGAGACGGGATAGCAGATTTAATCCATTTCACCAAGCACAAGCCCTCCTTCAAATCCAATATTTGGCATTACAGAGAAGAAAAATTCCAACATTTTTTGGGGATCTTACTCTTGGCTGCTTTGGAACGAGTGCGGATGCCTTCCGCGGGGTTGTAGATCTCTTCCCCCTTCACCATGATGTCCTGGAGACGTTTGTCGTCTGTGTTGAGGCTGTACTGCAGTAGTTTACAAAGAGCTACCGTGCTGCAGAAAGCAGAACATGACCAACATAGCCTTAAGTATTGCTGGCATCGGGCGGAAATCTTGTACCGTACTTTTTAGATGCTAAGTTGTACTTTTTTTCATAGTTTGGCTGGTCCTGTGACATATACTCAGGTGCAACTTGTATATATTAAAACATTTTTCTCTTCTTCAAGATGCATTTTTCATCTGGTGCGACTTACAGTGTACTTCAGAGTAACTTATATTCCCAAAAATATGCTGCCTCTAAAATCACTTCTTTTCAGGCAACCCCAAAAATGGCATGTTCAACAATTAATATTGCATCATCCAAGAGCTTGTTCCAAAAAGTTGGAAAAATAACACCCACCGATGTGAAGTGACCAATTGTATAGATTTGTAAAAAAAAAAAAAAAAGACATTTTATAAAGTGTGCCATTGGAGGTTTCGGCTCGACGAGAGCGTTATTTAACATATGCCGGTATATATTTTTTAAAATTTAGCTTTTTTATTTAATTTTAGCCATGAGTATGATAAAACCACAAAAGTGGAAAACAACCAGTTCCTTGATGATTGGTTGAACTCTTTGCACACTTAATTTTGTTGGATATTTCAGTAATTATTTTTCCATAACCTGTTGGTTGAGCTCCCAAGTTTTGGCCCATTTGACTTTGGAGTTTGCATAGTGTAGTGTAAAAGTAGCCCTGACCTGACTTTCCCCTCGTACTGTCCATAGAAGAGGTGTTGCCTGCTCATCCACTCCGTCATGACGAACTCCAGGGCAGGTTTTCCCGTGGGGCCGGGCAGGCTGCAGAGGAAGTCCAATAAGGGCTCCAGCTGGGAGTGAACCAGGTGGGCAAACACCATAATAAGGGACTGCAGTCAGAGCGAGAGGACGACAAAGGAGAAAACATGCATCATTTCATTGGTTCAACTTATTTTACAGATACAATTTCAACTTCCGTGTCATGTTTGTTTGTTGATTGAACATATAAATGGATAACAGAAATTTGGCAGGAAGTAACTGGAAGTAAGGACAAAAATGTCATGTCAAAATTGTCTTCACAAATATAAACAAGCGCAACCTGTATTTTAATTTGCCACATTAAAGGACTGGGACAATATGGCTTTATCCCGGTTCCATTCTTTTCAAGTGTTTTGGGGGGGTTAAAATTTTGCATTATGCTTTCATTTACCTGCATGACACTCAGAGTCTCTGCTTGCTGCATCTTGCTCAGGATGGCTCGGAGAATCTGGTCCAGCTGCTCGCCGAGCTGTGTGCCAGCCCGGGAGATGAGCGTAGACACAAGCCTCCCAACGAATATGGCAGTAAACTCTGAGGTCCTGGGGTCCAGCAGCAGGTTGACCACCTGCATGACGTACCAAACGCCGCTGTTGCCCTGGTCGTCACGCCACTGCGCTATCTGCTCCAAGGCAACCGAGACATATGCCCGCAAACACTCGCCGCCGTTCTGCAGGAGGAAAAAAGCCATTTTGCTCACACTGGTCCAATAATTTGCCATCTTGAAACTCCTCATCCTTTACCTGCATGACAGTGTTGTCATCGGTGCGTAAGGTGCACTGTGCCATTACAGGGAATGCCTGGCACACCAGCATCTCAGAGAGGGGCGGCTTGGTGTTGCGCACGACCGTGGTCAGCGTGTCAATGGCTGTCTGTAACATACACCACACTATGAGTCAAAGTGTAGCATTTGAAATAAAACAAAAAGGATGATGGTCATCCAAAAACAAACAAACAAAAATACATCTTATGCATATATGTAGAGAGAGAGAGAGAGAGAGAGAGAGAGAGAGAGAGAGAGAGAGAGAGAGAGAGAGAGAGAGAGAGAGAGA